GGGTATCAGCCACTCCCCTCCCCGTTTTGCATCGTCTACAAACTTGCTGAGGGTGCGTTCGGTCCCACCACCCAGGTCATTAACGAAGGTGTTAAAGAGTGTTGGCCCCAGTATGGACCCCTGGGGCGCACCACTCGTGACCGGCCTCCAGGTGGACTTTGTGCTCAGAACCCTCTGAGGGCCAGTGGTTCAGCCAGGTTTTAGTTGACCTCACTGAGGACTTAGACATGCTGATGAGTACAGATTGCACATGAGGGTGTTAGAGGAGATGGTGTCAAAAGTCTGGTTAAAGTGAAGGTAAACAGCATCCAGTGCTCTGCCCTCCTCCGCTAAGCCCATCATTCCCTTGTAGAAGGGTGTCCGGTTGGTTAAGCGCCGTTCCCCCTTTGTAAATCCACGCTGACTATTTGTGATCACCTTCCTGTCCTCCTTGTGTCTGGAAATGGTATCCAAGGTTAGTTTTTTCATCACCTTTCCCAGTGACCGAGGTGAGGCTGACCGGCCTGTAGTTTCCTGGATCTTCCTCCTTGCCCCACTTGAAGGTTGAGATGCTGGTAAATACTCTTGTCCCATCTATCCTGCATGGGCAGGAGCCTAAGCATACCCTTAATTCCTGTCCGCTGGTTCTCCAGAACAGTCTATGTGTTTTCAACCATTCTGGGCTCTGAATTTTGAACCCTCTGGGCTTCTGCTGCCGGGTTTTTCTGGATGTGAGACCAAGATGACAAGCCTGCTCTTTCCATTCACACTGCTCCTGGCTCAGGGAGGGCCTTCGGTAGCTGACCTGTGGGTTTTAATAGCCAGGGAAGAAAGGAGGTGATCCACAGAGAGGGAGGAGAGGCTACTTCTGGATTTGTGGCACAAATTGCTCCTGCCTCTGAGTGGCTGTGCGAGATGAGGCTCGTTTGTGCGGGGACTGGCAGGCAATCAGCTCTGCTGCATGAATGGAAAGCAGAACATCACTGTTGACTCCTGCCTCTCCTGCTGCTGCTGATGAGTGTGTGCCTGCTCAAGTCTTGGAGCACTTCACGTCCTTTCCTGTTTTCCCCCGATCGATGCCTTCTCTGAGTTTGTCCTCCTTGATCTCTGCTCTGCAGTCTGGCTCCCTTTGCTTCTCGGCTTCAGGAATCGAGGACTGTCTCCAGCTGCCGATGGATTCAAGCCCTTCCTGTGGATGTTGAAAGCAGCTTGGCTGGGGATGGGAGAGATGGGGATTTATCTCCTGTGGATTCTGGGGGCTTTGGGGCTGGGGCTCCTCAGGATGCTCGTCCCCTTCGGAGAGGAGGTCTGCCCGGCTACGCTTCCGAAGGCGCGTGCTGTGGTGCTCAGTGACACCAAGGGGGACGGCAGACGGGGAGCAGCAACAGCTTCGCGAGTCCTGGTGGCTGCCGGTGCCGTGCAGGACGATGCTGAAGCTGTTCTGTGGCAGCAGCTTAGGTAAGATCGCTTCAGCGTCCTGAGCACAGCTCTGCTGCTTTGTGACTCCCTGTGCGTGTGTGAGGGTTTGTACCATCGGTTTTCATGCCTTGGCTCTGACTTGGATAAATAGTCGCGTGCATCGCTTTCTCCTAGGATGGAGAAGCTGAAAGGGGCCCAGTGGAGGGTGACCGAGATGGCCAAGTGCCTGGAGTCCGTGAGCTACACAGAGAGGAGAAGGGAGCAGGGCTGGGGTAGTCCACCCTGGAGGAGGCAAGGGGGGACCTGGCAGCAGCCGCCTGAAAGGCAGGTACAAAGATGACGGAGCCAAACTCTTCTTGCTAGTGGTGGGCGACTGACGCACAGGCAACTGCCACAAACTGTGGCTTGAGGGTTCAGGTTGGCCAGTAGGGAAGGACCCTTCCGAGCCGGGGTGTTGCAGCCCTGCACCAGCTGCCCGGCGTGCTCTGTCCTTGGAGGTTTCAAATTTAGCTAGATGCAGCCAGGGCCAGCTTGACCTGGTTTGAGCGATAGTCCCCCTTGGAGTGCGAAGTTGGACTAGAGGTGTGCAGTGACCCCTTTCCACCAGTGCTGCCGCGAGGGTGACCCCAGCTGACTTCACTTCCCCGCCGTGTCCCGTTGCGCTTGCTGCTGTACCGGCCTCCTCCCAGCCAGCCTCTCGCACCCGTTACCCCGCTGACTTGGGAAAGCAGGGACCGTGCGGTCCGCTGGTTGTGAGCAGGTCGGGCAGGGGTCCCACATGCTGCGCTTTGAGCAGTCCCCCAAGACCGGGAATAATTAAAGTTACCGCTTTACTCGTTTCTGAGCTTCCAGTTTGCTGGTGGGAGGAATCATGCCTGGAACAAACTGGAAGTCCCTTGGGCCAGGCGTCCCCTTCCCGACGCCCGCCGGGCAGCTGGGCGCGAGGTGGTCTGCCCCACAGCCCGTCCGGAGGGCTCTCCGGGTTTCCCACCCTGCTCGGGGTTTGCAGCCAGTCCATCCTTCATCAGGAAGCCTGGCATGTCTGTGCATTTATCACCAGAAGGCAGGACTTGATTGCGTTGTCTGCAACAAATAAATCTTGAAAGGGGTTTTGTTGTTCAGTGACATCGTGATCAGTTGAAGTGCTCCGTTTCGGTTATCTGCAGCCTTGTTGTCTGCCACATTAAAGATTTCTATGCGGTGCCTCCTGTGTAGGTGTCTTCCGTATTGTTAAATCCCAGCCTGTCATACTGCTAAAGTGAGAAATGAAGCATGAAATGTTTCCTGATGAAGTTTGTCAGGGTTTAAATACAATTAATATGAAAATGCTGCGACAGCTTCCCCAGCAGCGATGCAGCAGATGTCTGTAGTTTGGGTATTTCTGCTTGGCTTTGGAGGGGCGGGTGTTTGCGGTTGCTCGGTTGTGGCCGTTGGGACCAAGGAGAGGGGTGGGAAGGGTGCAGGCACAGGCCGTGCCTGCTAACCCCGTCCGGGCTGGCGCTCGCCTCTCCTTAGAGCTGTTAGGTCACGCGTCTTCCCTGCCGGATGGGCAGGCAGGGAGCCCCCCAAACGTAGGGAGAGGGTGGGAGTGACAGATGAGGTATGAGGGATTAATCCCAGGCGCGGTGGGGGCTGAGGGCTGCCGGCCTGGGACTTGGGAGGGCAGAGCACCGCCGCCGTCCCGGGGCATTAAGCTTTGCTATCTCGCCTCTTGCAGGCGCTCGCTCGCCGCGCATCTCAGGCTGGCCGGTCCCTCGTGTTTATCTGCTCGCTTTGGCCCAGGATCCTGCCTGGACAGTTATATTTGTCCCCTCCTT